ATCACAAACTAAGAAACTAGGAGTAGGAGGAATAGGAGTGAGGAACGCCAGCGGACCCTGCGACTGCGCGGGACTAACGCTAGGGAGAAGAAGGAGAAGAACGCCGAGGGAGAAAGGGTCCTGGACCTGGCTACGGCCCACGATCTGGCAGTCTGCAGTACGTTCTTCGAAAGGGAGACTCATCAGGTCACTACAGCAGGGGGCAGCGACGACAACGGAAATAGACCTGTGGTGGTAAAAAGTCAATCCCTCAGAACTGTGAAGGAAGTCAAAGGTACTCCCTGGTTTGAAGAGCTGGCTTCCCAGCACGAGCTACTCCTGGCAGACAGAGCCATGGAGCTCCCTAACGAAGACAAAAGGTAAGAACGAGAGAAGAATAAGGTGGTGGATGTGGCCACCGGGCACAGAAGATGACTCAGCGAAGGCAATGGAAGTTCGGTCCTCCAGATCCTGAGGGACCACACGCAGGCAGGCTTGGGGGGCACTGCCAGCTGAGATCATCCTTACGATTGCGCAAGGAGCGGGCTTGGGCGAGAAGCGAGGTGGATTCAGAGGAGACAAGGGCAGCCGTGGTTCGGAACTGAGGAGCTCCAGCGGGTCGTGAAACAGAAGACGGAAAGATACAAAGCGCTGGCAGAAGACCGGAGCCCCAAAAGACCTCGCTGCCTACAAAAGTTGCAAGAGGCTCGCTAAGGGTGCCGTAGCCAGGCAAGAACATGGAGATGACCCCTGTTACGAGAAGTTGGAAGCCAGAAACGCAGAGAAGTTCGTCTTCAAGACTGGCAAAGCCCGGCCATCGGGCTATCAAGATATTTCAGGCTGGTGAAGCACGTAAAGTAGCACACACGGGCCGCCATTACTGAGGAGCCAGCGCTAAGTTCGGAGAGCGTGGGAGAATACTCCAGAGTCTTCCTGAACGAGGAGTTTCGGCACGAGAACCTCAACGGGTAGGCCACAGCTGGTTTCCCAGGCACTCTAGACCAGAGTTATGGAGGTTTCGGGCGCGCACTTGGGAAGATGAAGGTTGGAAAAGGCAGTTCGTCCGGATGGAGTACCTATAGAGGCACTTGAGGCCGTGGAGAGCACGGCGGCTGGAGTTGGCTCACCCCGCTTGGTCCTGAATACGCTGACTGCCGAAGGGGAGAGATGGCCGGATGCCTGGAGAACAAGCCACTATCGTCCACTTCAATCAGAAGGGTACGCCCGATGAACTGCTCCAACTACCGCCGGCATCAAGTTGACGGGCTACCATGACATTGTACGAGCGCCTGGTCGACGCGAAACTGGCGCGGGGGACCGTGCTCCAGATCTCGCACGAACAGTTCGGCGGTTTCATGTCCGAAAGGTCTAAACAACGGATGCACATCTGTCATCGCTAGGCAAGTGATGGAGAAGCTATCGCCGAAAAAGTGCAGGCCTTGTTACCTAGCCTCTCGCTCGAACCTGGAAAAGGCGTTTCGACGCGCTATCCCGCCGAGCAGTTGCTATGGAGGCCGCTTTAGGGAAGGAAAAGTGCCAGACACCTTCATCTTCTGGTGAAGGACAATGATACGAAGGAGCAAGGAGCTATTACGCACCTTACGGCTAACGAAGAAGGTTGGACATCACGGTCGGGGTGCACCAAGTAGCTGGCTGAGCGTTCCTCTCCTCTAGCGCTAGTTGTCCTGGTGAAGGGGCTCATGGACGGGACACTGAAGGCTATCATGTGTGTGACGACGTATCGCCTGATAGCTGATAGTAGAGCAGGAACTTCCAAGCCAAGGTGCCAGAAATGCAGAAAGTCCTGAAGAAGTGGGTTCGGCTAATGTTTAAGACAGACGAGTTCCTGAGCTCCGGAAGAGGTGCAGAAGTCGATCGTGAGGCCCCACCCACCCAGGCCATGGTGACGACCAGCGAACGGGTGGAGGACTTCGATACCTTGGCCGAGGGATCTGGCAGCCGACGCTAGTGTGGATCAGGCCGCGTGAAGGCTCGGGTCAACGCCTGCATGAGATGAAGTGGAGGAGTCCACGGGAATTCTTCTGCGACGAAGCGTGCTCCAGAGGGCTTAAAGGAAAGGTGTACGGGCCAGGTGGTAAAGGCACTGCGATCAGGGTCAACCTATCGTTGTTACTATTCGAAGAAAAGAAATTTTTTACGGACCCTCCCCCAAGGTGCGATTTTTGGTACGGCACCCCCCTCCAACACCTCGATCACCATATGCCTCAAACTTCCACTACACTCAACCCTCAAAACTCCGCCCCTTTTTCCTCCAAAAATGCCGTCGAGAGGGGGGGGGCGGGGGGGTATATACGCCGCTAACGGCAAATTGTTTATCTTGCGCCGCCCTCGACTGCGCACACCTACTACCCACGGAAGTTCTCGGTTTTCTCCTCACTCCCACACGTGATGTCGAGCGACTAAAGTGGGTAAGAGGGGTACGACCCCCTCCTACAAACTCACCAGGTGACCCCCCCGTGGTTAATCGGAACACGCTGGGTTGAACCCTGCCTGCGATGCGTCTACGGACAGCGAGGGCTGGGCTTTGAACCAAAATCAGGAAAGACAGCTCACTTCGGCCGAAGTGAGGATGCTGGAGATGGGCCTGCGGCTCGACGCGGCTGGACAAGGTTAGAAACGAGGACGTCAGAGCGGTCATGCAGACTGCCCCTGTCCGCTGAAGGTACCGAGACAGCCGTCTGCGATGGGTATGGGCATGTGCTAAGGAGGCCACAAGACCAATCGATAAGAAACAGCGTATGGACTTTCGAAGTACAAGGCAAGCGAACCGCGGGCGAAGCCCCGAAGAAAAGTGGAAAGACGTGATCAAGAAGGACCTAGGTGAGAGGTCCGCGGCCCGATGGATGATGCCCTGGACAAGAGCAAAGTGGGCGACGGCTGACAAAAACAGCGGACCTGCGAACTGCGCGAGGGACTAACGCTAGGGTGAAGAAGAAGATCGTAGAATTTTTTTCTATCAAAAATTTCAGGGAAGCTCGCTTCGTCGCAACAGAGCCTGGTAGCAGTACCAAAAGTTGAGCAATTCCTGGTCATAGCAAAAGGAAAATACTCCCAAAAACCTTTGCAACTTGGAACCACATGCGCTTGCGCGGCGTATCGAAAATAAGCCTTCTTTGCTCCGCATTAGATTCGATTTACTACACCCATACAAATGGGTTTAAACGAATTCCGATGTGTTCGGACCGAATAAAGAACAATTGAATGCAGCGCTATGAGAGAATTCATTTCTCCAGGTTGAAAATAAAGTTCTTCAGGAATCTAGTTTTTTGAAGACGCTTCTTTCGGAGAATTCTGGAGCACATTGTGAAGCAGAAAGCGCGCTGTTGTCAAAAATGTCTTCGCTCCACCCCGTAAGCTTTTTGAAGGAGGTTGTTGTTGCTGAAAGCTCAAAAACTCGAAGTTACGGCTCAAAAAGCTGCGGGAAAAAAGTGTGAACGTGTGATTTTCTCGGAAAATGAACTTTCAGAAGTTGAGCTTTTCTCAGAGAAACACATATCCTGTGCTTTCTTGCCATGCTGTAAAGGCTAACGCCGCGACGTAGCCGCAGCTAAAAGAATCCGAAGCTCCCTTGCATACTCAATCTGGTGTTGAGCTTTAAGTCATGTATCTTGACGCATTCACGCTGGCGGCAGCCCATATGGCTTGCCAAGGAATTATGCTCGTGAGAAGATGGCAGCTGATATGGGCTGCCAGTTGGTAATCGCTTGCCAGGCGCTATGGATGGAGATATAGGTGGTTAAAACTCGTAATCGAGTTTAAAATGCTTTTAAATTCCCTTGCGGGGAAGTGAACGAATGCTCTCTTATTGTTACCACTATTTGTCGTTTTGATCGAAATCCTACTATTCTATGTTTGGGTAATCTTTACACATTGAACATTATTGAAATTATTTTGTGGCAGTCATGTTTTTGTTCATTTACAGTACAAAATCCACGGATGTGAGGTGAGGAGGCGGCGCTCACAAAAATACGTCTGTCCCACGCGACCGAAATGTGGAAAATAGGCGTCGTCGTGAATGCGTTAACGAGATTCTCTACTGCACACTATTTTGATCGTGAATGGAAAAAGGGTCTGAGTGGAATCACCACTGAGGCTAATAGATCCACGCTTTGCTTTGTGATCATAATTGCTTCGAAGTGCTTCTTCGAGTTGTTTCTGAAATTGCGGTCATCAAGGCACGGGGAGGCGGATCTGGCGTTGCGAAATGGTAATCATGGTGATGAAGAAATCGCTAGTAGCCCCGACCAGACCAGAAAGAGTCATCTGCTTGAGACTGCGCTACACACCTTCAGTTTACTGATATTTGATGCCTCAGTGTACATACAGCCACCCTGCTTGTTTTATAACAACAACGGGGTCGCACCTGGACCCCTCGAGAGGGAGGGGTCGCAAAAATTTCGGAACTGTGCGTGCGTGACCGTTGACCCTGTATGCGACTGCAGCCGCATTTCTTGCTAGCACGAGCCAGCGATAAATGCCGGCGGAGCAACTCAGTTTGGACAGCTCGGTTTAGCCCTACCCTCCTTATGGGGTAAGAGGGGTGGTTCTTATTTAGAGAATCATCGACGGTTTTCTTTATTTATTTACTTTCATTTGCAGTCAAGTGGTCAACCCCTACTCATTATCTACCGCTTTTACCCCGTAAATTCGATCCGGAACTGTTGCTTTAATTTTTGTGACAATGGAAGAACACAGGCTTTGTTCCGGTATCCCGATTTCCGCCCACCCTTTCTGGATCCAGTTCCCGTTTCACAACTTTATCAGATTTGCGAGCAGACGTTAGTTGACAACTGCACACAATAACAAAATTTATTATTTGACCTCATAGGATAGGTTTGAGAATGCACATTGGCTAGCTCTAAATGCGGGCAACAAGTATCGTAGCTGAATGGAATCACTACGTTTTGGATGAGAATGAGCGTGTGAAAAGAGACAGAGCGAGGGGTTAGAAGAATGGAATGAAAGGATATGGAAAAGCGTAGATGGATTTGTAGATGTCTTTAGCGCTTTCCCAGTCCTATATAGTAGTGTTTCGTATCCATCCTCTTTTCGGCTTCCTTGGCGTATTCATTCCAGTCGTCCGACCCATGGACCTGCAATAATCGCATACACTTCGCGAAATTAAAGGGATCTGCATTCAAAGAAAGAAAAGGATGGTTTTCAAGCTATAACTCTGTTTTTGGTAGTGAACGCTTCTTCTGTGCCGCACAGGTTTTTTGTACTCAAAATTCATTGAACCGACGTTTCGACTGCTTTCAAATTATGTAATTATTACAGAAAGATAGATGGTATATTACAACCATCATAACAAGCTCAAAATCTGGTGGAACTGGAGTAGGGGAGAGGGGGGCACACCATTGTTCTCTCTTATACTAAAGGAGGTATAATTCATTGTACGTGATCAAGTCATTTTAAGTACTCTTCTGGTAAGAGTGAATGTAGTGTAGAAGAAATCCTGCAAGCTTTCATATCTCCACCTTTCATGGTCCAAGGAAACGGTTCTGGACCAAGAAAATGGATATTTGCCTAGGCCCAAGGGCATAATATTGGGTTGAAGCGTAATATCGTAGCGTTTTTTTTTCGAGCGTATAAATTCAGTTAGTACGGGTATCACCAGAAAACCGCTCATCTCGTTTGAGAATGCTTTTCCCGCTCTACAACACCGTTGCTGTTATTTTCTTTGAAATTGTAAATGCACTCAGGTATAGAGGTTAGATGTTGGAAAACCTAGAAGGTGAAAATCAGCGTTCCGACAGGTGCTATTCTTCGGTTTGAGTAAAGAAGAAAAACACCAAATTGGAATTTCTTTTGAATCTATTGTTCAAATCGAGCTTTGCTCTAAGTGACACTCTTTCTTTTTTTGCTGAAATAAACCATATCCATTTCGCAGAATTTGGGAATAGTGAGGCCTCCGAAAACGACCTTCATGTTTTTTTTTAAATTCTATACCCGGTGATTTCCTACGAAACGCAATGAAAGTTGTAAATAAAAGTGTACATCATTGATTGGTTTTATGTTTTATTTTTTGCTCCAAATGTTTGTGTGAAGAAATGAAAAATGCAAGCGCTACGATATTATGCTCCAACCCAATAGTTCCAGGATGAACGACCAGGTACAGAAAATTGTATAGGATGTGGGCAGGATGCGTGAACTGGAGTACTCACCGGTCTTTATCAAGACTACATATGCTTTGAATGAGCCCCTCACGTACCATCTTGTCCTTGTGTTAGAGGCCGGAGAAGATTTCTCTACTACAGGGATAAGATAACAAGGAGTGCACCCGTGTCTCAAACTCTATTTTCCTCGGATTTCTCCCAACACTTCATCGATGCTTGTTCCCGATTGTTTCACAAGAGTGCTGGGTTGTGAACAAAATTTCGCCCAGACTGGAATCGAACCCGCACCTTTTGCTTTATCGATGCTGTTTATTCAGTGCCTTGATCATGGGTGTTACTTTCACTGGTTAGCAGTAGAACTATTATACTCAGTACTGACTCGGCGCAACTACTTTTTCCACCGTATTCACTGATGCCTCCTCACCCTCAGGAATTGGTCGGTAAGGAAGGGGGTCAGATTAGATTCCCGGCGGAGGCAAGTTCCCCATATATAAACATCCTAGTGATACGTGCGAAGAGACTGTTTAGAATTACCACTAATTAAGAGAATAACCTATCATAGAAAACCACACTTGGATACGGTGCCAGCTATAAACTATCTTTGAACTCACACTTCGCTTTCCAAAGCTCATGCGGAATGCATTAGGGTCAATGTTTCGTCCTCCAGAGAATCGCTTTCCAAACGACATGCGGAAGGCGTGTGGATCCATGACTGCTCGCTTGCCCTCCGTCAATACCTCATAATCCTAAAAGTAGTCCACCAATGAGAAACATGAGTTGATAATGTAATTAAAATTCAATCGACTACTTTTGGTTCTTATAAGGGTATGTTTTCGAAATTAGGGGAAGAGCAGTTCAAGAGTTCAAAGGCAACGAAGGCAGAAAATCGCTGGGATCATTTATCACTTCTCTTGACTAGTTAACTAAATCTTCTCAAGCTAAACACTTTCCGAAAAACTTGCCAAGGTGAAGGATGGAAGGTTTGGATCACGGTCAACTTTTCTTTATTTTCACCCCGTTCCCCCCCCCCTCCGTAGGTCCCTCACACGCTCCCCAAACCACAATCACCGAAGGGGTTCCCGCCCGCGCCACTCGAAGGTCTCAGGGATACGCACATAATGTACAAATCATAGAATTACATTGTTTCACCGTTCCATGCAACTTGCAAACCCCACCCTTTCGTCTCTCACCACTATACCCCCCCCCCCTCCGCCGCCCTCAAATCGCAAAGGATTCTTGCCAAAGTTCACAAGTACGAGTCACACAGATTGTTTCAAGCGGTTGACCCTCTCGACAAGAGAGACAATGGGATACGAAACAAAACAAATCACATAGTGTCAAAAGGAATGCGAGAAAAGTTCTTGCGCTTTTCCTTTTGTTTTTCATTGCTATTTGTTTTCATTTCATTGCCTCATATTCGCTTTGGCACGCTGTTGACGCCTGGCACAGAACGCGTGACAACCTCCTAGCTTGAGAAGACATTTTTGTTCTTCACTCAATGAAGCTCATATCAGTGGGGCTAAAACAGATATTAAGCTGAAACATCAAGAACCCAAAATTCATATATTTGCTGAAAAACGAATTTTTTCTTGCCCGCGTTTTTCCTATATTTTAAGTCATAGCCACGCTTCATTTTTACAGGAAGTGGATTTCCACTCTCTCAAGAACTTTCACCTCCGTTGTCTTCAAAGTCTAACACTGCTTCAGACGTTTTGGAACAACTTAACTAACACCTTGTTCATCTCAGAATATTATTTGCCTTTTTTCTTGGGCTCACGCTCGTCTTTTTAGCAATATAGCAAGCTTGATGCGAATCACGAGCCCAAAAATCGAATATTATTCAGTGGGTACCTGAGACAGAACAGCGACAACTAGCATAAGCGAAAGAATCGCGACCCGAAGGCTGTCCATTGGTGTGTCTGAAAAGTTGAAAATTTATGAAGGATAAGGCAGATTACTGGAGACCGTCTCGAATGTAGGTACTAAACACGAAAATGAGGTGATAACAGCTTTGAAGTTAGCGAATAAATAATAAAAGATTCAGCAGAAACGAAAACTGACACGATATGCGGAGTGAAAGATCGCTGATCGCCCACCCACGGTAAGAAGCTCGACCGAAGTGTGAAGAGAAACGGTGGAGATGATGCTCAACAAGAGTTTCGTAATGAACTCACAGTCTTGGAAGGACTGCTCTGTTGTGATGTTATTCATTGCAGTGAAGTGTTTGAGTGTGTGAATGACAAGTTAGCCCGAAAACAGATCCCATAAATGGGACGCGTCTTACAGCTTAACTCCTGAGAGACAGACATGAGGCATCGGTTATCAAGGCGGATCTGTGACGGACTAATAGATGCGATAGAAAAAATGTGCTTGTGAAAAAAAATATTCGATGTTATTTCCACTTTTCAACATAGGTCCAGGCTGGATAACGTAGAAAAACTGAGTTGTACATCTAACTTCTGCTAGAAAAAGGTTAGGTGCTAACTTAGTTGGGGGCAGGGTCGGTCCTACGTTGCTACAAGTAGCAACGGGGGATCGTATTTTGGTGAGTTTGTAGAGGGGGGTCGTACTGCATTCGATTGTAAGAAGGTTGCATGAGGTGAGGGAGAGTGGCGCGGGAGAGAATTTGCCGTTTCAGCGCGGTATATACCCCCTCTAGAAAATGAAGTGTGGAGATTAAAGGTAAGGAGGTGGGAAATTGTGGAAATTTAGTAATTGTTCACGGTTCAGAGTGACTATATACCCCCTCCCCGATCGACGGATTTTTGCGAGAAAAGTGGGCGGAGGTTTCCGTGGTTCGGGTTATACCAGGAATGAAGTACTAAAGCCTGGAATATGGTCGTCCGGAGGGTCGAGAGCGGGGTCGTACCAATCCACCTTTGGGGAGGGGGGTCGAAAAATTTTTCGAAAAAGTAGCAACGATAGCGACCGACCCTGGTTGGGGGTACACACGGCGGCGCGCCGCTTTAGGCTGCCTGGCGCTCTCTGGAGCGAGACAGCGTGAACTCGAACCAGTCTTTCACGATGTCAGTGGACTGCCTCACCCCCACCCCCCTAGACTGCCTACAGTCCCCAGGCTCACGGATTTCCCGAAGTACGCAAAGGTACCAGGCGACAAAGCGCCGCGCCGCGTGGTCCCCCCCCCCAACTAATTTAGCACCAAAGGCTAAATGGAGCATGCTTTCCCTGTTAATCTTGGATGAAGTGAGATCCTTAAAGGCAAAAGTCGGGCTCAATAAGGGGGTTTATGGCGATTGAAACTGAGTATAGAGATGCGAAGTGGAACGACAGTGGAGAAAAAACTGAGAAAAACCGTAGACAAGGCCGTTAACAAAACCCTCTTTCCCACTAGCAGTGAAGGAGGCTGTCTTGGGGGTGAGGCACGTACAAACAAGTTTTCTGGAGATGTCAGTCGTTCTATCGGTTGATACGGCAATCAACCTAGTTGTTTCACACGTTATGCCAGCCACGCACCACTTCCGGAGGTGGGCGGTCTCGGATTGACGAGGCGGTCCCGGATTGAACGGGTCCTGGGGGCTTAACGATGTTTTTCAAGGTGGAAAGTTGCTGCAATGTGTGCAGCTACGCACATACAACCTCCAGGCATGGGAATTACTTCTCTAGCGTGTCTGAGCCCGACCTTTGCCGTAGAAGGACTTTAGCCGCAATCTCTCCCTATGAAAGCTCCTTGCAGTCATCACAACATCGAGCTTTTGTGAAGTTTCGTTTACCACCTGCAATATTAGATCTATGCCGACCCTCCTTCTGCTCCTGCGAGTCCGCTGCGTGATCTAGTACACATCCGGGACAATGCAAATACTCTTCGGAACCGCGACCAGGCTAGGAATATGAACGTGAAAGAAAATGGGTACAAAGGCTTGGCCGAATGTGGAATGAACGAGAGAAGGAACGATGTTGAAGGCGGTCGGAAAGTGTTGGTGAACTCTGTATACTCAGCCCTTTATGATTTATCGCGCTGCATTTGCCTCGAGGCAGAAGTTCGCATTAGAGCTCGTTTTTGTCTAGCGTAAACAGCCAGTTGCTTCCTAAGCTATTGAGAAGCACAGACTTACGACATATCATCACATCTATAGCAGGTAATTACATTTTTAATAACTCCTTATTTGTCCGAAGTATCTCAGAGTCCAGGAAATGTCTAGGATAAGCAGAAAAGCAAACGACCCTTATTTATTTCCTCACTGATGGTAACTTTTTGCAAGTGGATGAACGATTAGTCAACTGGTACTCTCCGTGTGTAATGTGGTGGTAAGTGGTGTCAACTAAAAGGCTCGCATATGTAGGTATAAACATCGCTCGAGTCCTCCCTAGGTTAACTAGACCCTCCATGCTCGAGGTGAGTTTCCTGGAGCAGGCTTGTCGAGGAGGGCAAAAACATCAACGTTTCAGAAGCTGGTCTATCCAAACCAGGCACAATAGCCAAAATGCATCCAAATTTCACTACAAATTCAAATAGGGACAGAGGTGGCGCATTTTAAAATTACTGACAACTCTGAATGCTTTATCCTTTTGGAGATCTAAGAAGTTGATTCTCCCAAAAGCTGTCGTGTGATTGGTCGTTGCTGGTGATCTACCAATCATGAACGCGTTCCATTTTGGATTCCCAAATTCTATTAAATCAGCTTCCAGAGAATATTTAGCCATTATTGAAGAAAGCAGAGAATTTTTCAAATCAAATAACTCCGGCGCAAAAGCTAGAATATGGAGGAAGTTATAGCCCTAGAAAGAGGAAGGTGAAAATTGTAGAACAAGTTTCTTTCTTGCTTGATAACTTATTCGTTTGAAGTTGTTTGAGAACAAATGAGCTTCACTTAGAAAGGGTGAGCCTTGGTGATCCGAAGTCCACCTACATGTTCCGACCTACCTGAAATTGTACCTGAAATTCAACGAAGAAAAATACGTCTACATTTCAATATCCCTGTTCGTCATCTGTTCCTGATCAGCAAACGCGCTCCATCGTCAGGGCGCGTTTCAGTACATTCAAAACGCGATCAGCACGCGTTTCCATTACTTTGCTACCTCTGCTTTTTATATTATTGCACCTAATGCACCTATCGAATTTTTTGGTCTCATCCGGTAAGGGGGGCATACAGTGCGACAGTTCATGTTGCGTGAAGTTATCCACTTTTTTTGCAGAGGAGGTAAGCTCCGGGGTGGGTGTAAAAGTTTAAGCGAAATGGTCCATGCACCCTGGGAATTCCCTCCCCTTGCGCAATAGCATTACATACAGGGGGGGGGTCGTATCAAATCGCCTATAAGGGGGAGGGCTCGTAAAAAAATTCCAAAAAGTACCAACGATAGGGTTGACCCTGGTTTCAAATGGATTGCTCGCGTGACGTCCAACGACTGCCTCGGCAGAATTATGCCACAAAGCCTTCACGTTCAAAACTGTCCAGGAAATATGAAATAGTACGTCCTATGGGTGCTTCGTTCAGCAGTATTGTAGGAAACTCAGGATCCAATACCCGCGGTAGCTGCTTCTGCTGTAGCTTTTTTGAAAGTAAAAAAAGCAAAGGAATGAAGATATGAACTGAAAAGATTCGCTGGATAGGGTCGTACCTGAAGTCGGAGTTGAGTTCACAAGTTGATAGATCGCTGTTTTCCACATGATTATGCTGTATAGCTGCATATTAGTCTAGCAACCCTTATCACAGAGAAGTGACGACGAGCTTTGTTGATACACAACAACGTAAAAGCGTCTGGTGAGGTGAATTGCGTAACAAAGGCTCATCACTCGCGTACTGATTTAATAATCGACATACTGAAATCTTTCGCCTCAGCAACGTTCAAAAACATGAAGTGACTCCGAACAGCCTCGAATTGTTCGATTTTTACCAGACGCACTGCATGCTGGAGTAAGAACTCAATGAGAGTTCCCCAACGAATCCCATAGATCGAGCCGAGTGCAGTAATTGGAACAGGGTTAAATATGATTTCGGCAACAGCAAAAACAAGTCAGCCACGTTTAGGCTGCGTTTGGGAGACCTTGACTTACAGAGATCAAATGTCAAGGGGCAGGATATTAGCACTTGAAGCTAGTAAGTGCGTTAATTTTGATTGTTATTCGGAAACTAAGGAGGAACTGCTAAATACATAGTTCAGCAATGAAGAAGAAAGCCAGAAGAAATACCACGAAAACGGCAAACTGAACCTCTCGAATGACAATCTAGCTGTTCATTTTTTATGCTAAATGCTTTTCCACTAGTTGGAGCAGACAGAATTGATCTGCTTTTCTAGGGCTAGAGCGAAGGCGGATCAAGGACAAGGGCTGTTTCCGACTTCAAAAGAGAGATCATAGGACTATATTTGCCAGTGTCAGACTTTGCGAATCATGTGATTCGTTAGCGAATCGCGGAGTATAAGCGTTGCTCCAGCGAATCGAACGATGTACAAACGATTCGACACTGCTTGAAAATGGTGGGACTCAATTTGAAAATCGGCCCTCGCCATTTTCCGGGCTTACAGGGGCATGAAAGCTCAAGATATGTAGTAGGGAGAGTAAACGTGAATCAAAGAAGTGCCAAGTCGCTGGTACATTGCTCGATTCGCTGTCAATACATAGTTGGGCCGCTGGTGCAACGCTCGTACCAGGCGATTCGCTAACTAATCTCTGGATTCGCAAAGCCTGGCACCGGCCTTGAGTCGCTTCGAATGCGTCCTTCATCATGCCACACGCTACACATTGCCTCTGACGCACTAAGTTACCTTTTGATGGAACGTATTCAATTTATCCATTAATGATTAGAAAAATATCGCACACACTTAATACAAGAAAAACGGAAATATGCCCTGTCCTAATTACTCACTTTATTGCATGCTGTACGCATAACAAAACAAAATTAACGAAACGCAACGAAAGATAAAATTAATTCAGAATTGAAAGAATCAAACCA